TGGCACGCTGATGATGTCTCCTTTATCTTTCTCTCTTACATGCTTTATGTGTGATGTCTCCTCTCTTGATTCATTCCCCTCATACCAACTAAATGATTACATGATCTTTGTGTGTGTTGAATAGCCCATTGAGCCTATCTCCTTTGAATTAGAAGGACCTAAGAATCCCACTATGCACCAAACCAAAAAGAGAATAAAATAATATCCCTAATCAAGAGTATTCTTAAGTTGAGACCTAAAATATAATTAACCATGGGAGCTTGCACCTGTGGGAAATTGACACCCACATCAAATAAAGCTCACTCGAGCTGATGTATCGAATGGGAAAAATGTCATGACTCTTGAATCATATGTATCATTATACATCAAGATGTGTAGGTCAAATCCACTCTTTTTCATGGGCAATTATATGTATGATTCGATCTGCTCTTTTGTTGGTCTGCTAGTATAAAGTGTAAAATTTTTTAACCATTTTATCCTATGGATAGTGTGATCATACCCTTTGCATTCTAACCCCCGTGAGCATCCACTTTTGGATACCCACAGCACCATCTTCACCTTCTTCGATATATCCAAGAGAGCCAACTTCTTCCTTAGCAATGGAGTAGGAGCAATTGGCACTTTCATCCACTCTCCACCCATTATGTGTGAAAACTTGATAAAATAGTCTTTAGATGCCTTCAGAGTGAAAATTTTCCTGAATAGATTCAACAATTATGGAAAGCAACTTTCAATAATAATTAAGAAAAAAGATATCACCACCGCCACAAAATTCATTAATATTTTGGTAAGAAGCATCCCAAAGAAATTCAAGACCTCATATATGTGAGACCTCGTTCCCTTACTGTTCCTCTCTAGTTTGGATTTTCCTCCCAGAATCATCACCATACGGTCGACAGGAAAAACCAACTACCCATCCAACATCGAGTTAATTCGCTCGCCATCCACCACCGCTCTAACAATGAAACCAGCATGATAAAAGTATTATGATTTGAATACATACTTAATATACTCATTAATTAGTTGAGTCTTGGGCAAGTTCATCTCATTGAGAAACCTACTCGTGCACTTGCACAACCCAAATATTCAGGTGTAAAAATTAGGATTAGAGGAAATAAAATAGACAAAGCATAGATCCACCCTTTGGGTCCTACAACTCTTATTTATAATTTTAAACTCAACACACATGATTCCAAGACATCACAAATCAAAATTAATGCAGAATATCTCACCATCCTTTCCCATCATTACAGAATCTGAAGAGTTGCATTACACTTGCCACAATTAACACGATAGCTTTTCTCATAATATGTGGTACATCAACTGATTCGTTCTATTCAATAGAATTAAAAATTTTATTCACATAACAGTCAATACATTTAAGCTCACAAATAAATACAATCATTAAAAAGAATAAAATAAATTAACCAATATGGTGGCTACACCATACATGCTCAAGTATGGGAACCTTCTCAATACTCATGGCCATTCCACGCATCTGATGATGGGATTAATCAGTCTCCAAGGAAATATGAACCTCGAAAATAGTAAAAGTATCAAGGTAGTAGTAAATCTGCATTTACTTATGTTATCTATTTTAATTTTTTATTTATCCGACCTTTTGACATCAGATGTTCAAAGGGTCATATAAATCAGAGAATTAAATGTACACCTATGACTACCTGTGCAGGTACACGTTTGCATGTGTCATGCAGGTTACGTTCGGGTCGAGCGAAAGGAGGATCCACTCCTCTCTCGGAACTGTTTATTTGAGGGACTCACTTAGGAGTTGGAAGGGTTTTAACACCAGATCACAATAAACCAGCACTAGTCTCATCCTCTCAAGGCAAGGATGACATCCGAAGTTTCTCTCTCAGCCAAACAAGTCTTTATTCATCTAAGTCAAAGTCAAGTAACGCATACGAGAAATATCAAACATCTAATGACACAAATCGCTTTTTCAAACATCTCCCTAGTAATAATCTGAAAACAACGCCCACATGCCACTCATCCCTTTTCACCTCAATAGGGAGACTCAAACTGGCTTTCGATCTCACAATGGCTCATCCTCCTGACAGCAATCGAACAATACTCATCCCCTCTCACCTCAACAGACCGACTCCAAGTCACCGTCCAGCCTTAGCTCACCCTTTTCAATCGTCATTCTACTCGATACCAATAGGAGAATTACCACAAAGACTGATGAGATAGCTACCATGTCCAAGATGTAACTTCTACATCCTTCTGAACCCTATAAAAAGAGAGAGGGAGAACGTGCAAAAAAGGGCCTCAAGACGCACGTAAAACACATTCAACAATATAACAGGAGGAGATGAGGGAGATCACACCTAAAAATATACAACCAGATCCACAAATATTATATATATTTTCTATTACAATTAAGTGAAATATTATTTTGTTTGATTTAGTTAAAAGAAGAAGTTGACATCAAAAGAAACATCGAGTCGAGAAAAAATTTGATGTCATAATGATATTTTATATCGCACAAAATATTTTAATCAAATAAATACGTCCATTTATCAATTTTTTATTAAAACTAAATTTAAATAGTGTAATGTTACTTTTGTATTTAAGTGTAAGTAATCATATTTCTCGAATGGGCTTCCGTTACTTGCACTGCCCTCAACAGCAACAAGGCCAAGCATATGGTTTAATTTACTTGAATTTTACATCTTATAATTAATTTCACAGTACATTTGGTACGAATATTTGTTAATGTTGATCGATACTAAAGATTGAAAGTTACGTTATATGCATTTTTAATACCTGTTATAATCTACTTCATTTTTTAAAAACTTAAAATTTGTTGCTTCGTTATATTTTTTGAAATTTTTGCCTCGCAACTAACTTCTTATTTATTCTGCTAAGAATTGATAAGCTGGCCCAATAAATGGAACTTTTATTTGGTCCGGTGAACATACGCAACTCTACATTCGGCCGCCAGTAGAATCGCGGCACGCGTTTTCATTATTTACCGCGCGCCCCGACAACCCGACCCGGAACGGACCCAAGATTGCTCGGTATTGCTAGGTATTGGTCGATTTTTCTCGACAATAACCAGTACCGAGTAATACCGAGCAAATACCGAGTTGTTCCGAGTTATTTCTAGCAATACCGAGCAAATACCTAGCAATATCGAGCAAATCCCTAGCAATACGGAGCAAATCCCTAGCAATACCGAGCAAATCCCGAGTTGTGCCAAGTTGTAGAAAAACTCAGTACAACTCGGTATTTGCATGGTATTGATCTCACAGAGCGGTATTTCTCATTTTTTGCAAAGCAATACCGAGCAAATACCGAGCAATACCGAGAAAATCGCGAACATAGCATTCCCGAGTTCCGCTGCGGGTCAAGTCGTCGGGCCGGGCGGTAAAGAGTAAGAGCACGTGGCGACATGTTATTGGTGGCCGAACGTAGCTCTACGTCCGGTCAGAGGGCGTAATAATTGTTCCAATAAATGGGCAGTGTTTTTTGTTTTTTTATGGAAAGCAGCACAGCCTAGCAACAATTATTAGGTCAGGTGACTTGACGTAGCTCTATATTCGGACACCAATAATATGTCGCCACGTGCTCTTACTCTTTACAGCACGGCCTGACGACTTAACCCGGGATTGCTATGTTCGTGTATTGCTCGGTTTTGCTAGGTATTGCTTTGCAATAACGATAAATACCGCTCTGTCAAGACCAATACTGAGCAATACCGAGAAAAACTCGATATTGCTCGGTATTGGTCTTCACATAATGGTATTTCTCGTTATTGCCGAGCAAAATCGATCAATACCTAGCAATACCGAGTAATACCTAACAATAAGCAAACATAGCAATCCCGGCTCCGTTCCGGGTCAGGTTATCGGGCCGCACGGTAAATAATGAGAACACGTGGCACTAATTTACTGGCGTCCGAACGTAGAGCTACGTTAGGTGACCGAACCAAATAAAAGTTCCTATCCCACACATCTGTATTACTCAGTGATGGATTACGTCGCAAGCTTTAAATTAGCTGCGGTTTTTTTTTTTTTTTTTTTTTTTTTTGCGGTTTTTTTTTTTTTTTTTTTGTTAAAAACTTCACCACTTTCTTCACAACACTTATATATAATCAGTTAAAATTATTTGGTAGGTTCAAAATTTTATCTAACGTATCCTTAGTTTCTTCATCGATATGATTAAATAAATAGTAAATGAATAGTTTCTCTCTTTCGGAGTAGTGTATATATTCCAACTAATGGATCAAACTAATCCCTTGTTCATCTAATATGATCCAACAAGTCTCTAGGTCACAAGTAACATAGCATTTAGTAACTTTTAAATGTTATATTTTTCTTAAATCCAAATAAAATTTTGGATTTTCATTTAAACATGTGAAACCCATATGATTTTATAAGTACTGATACTTCTAACTCAAAATAAAAGAGACAAGTCTCAGAAATAATGGTGTTGCACCAACTTCAATGACATCAAAGAAAGATAAGAAAAAAAAAATTAATAAATCAAAATAAGGGCATGATTCCATCAACACCTGCTCCACAAGAGCAAGTAGGTGTTAGATCACCAAAAATGAATTATAATTTATTAGGTCACCTTATAAAACTCCCTATGAGACTAAATATTTATGATGCCCTCTTGTTTTCTCCTGAAATACAGAAAGCTTTCAACAAGACTACTTGATCCTGCATTTTTTTAGCTCAGCCCACATAGTGTTTTTTTGAGGAGGCTTTATAATTTTTAAAAAAATATTCCCTTTCTGTGATCCATGTTTTAGAATTTTACCATCTCTACTGTTGAATTCTAATATATGTTTTGGTGGTCTCGCCACCTATTTTTGTAATTCCTGTAGCTGAGCATAGTTCTTGTTTTGTGATTGTTCGTGTAGCTTCTTTTTGAATTTTTCTTGTATATTTTTACACTTGTAACCACATTTTTGTTTAATGAATTGGGCTAAGTCCCTAATCTCATTGCAGAAGTAATGATGTGAAGTATTATTCCTCACAGAATTTGCGATGCATTCTTTATAAGAATTCTTATCTCTCAACATGGTGACAATAGTAAAGCTATGAAACTAGCGCACACTTTATCCCCAGCAAAAAAAAAAAGTGGTATAGAAGCAAAATAATCATTAGCAAATCTCTCACCATTATTTATAACTAGAGCAATCCCCCAAGGCTATCCATACATCACTCTTTCCCAGTCCTCTCCTTTCTCTTCTTCATCTGAATGAATGTGTTAACATGAATAACATCATTATATTTAGCCAAAATAAATAGTAAGACTCCCAATGATGATGTCTTCACATTCCTTTGGGTCATGCTTTGAACTCCTAAATATTGCTTGGTTCCGATAACCTATTATCTGTAACAATCAAGCGATCAGTTCAGGATACATCAGTGAAAGAATTGCGAAGGATGTCATGGAAGTCAGTAAGCATCATACCTGGACGAGCTACAGCGCATTAAGAATATACAAAGAAGCAGGTATTTCGACATATGAATGTACTACGAATCTATAAAAAGTATTTCATCCTTTCATCTCTTCTCATGGCATTATAAACAGCTTGGACCTGGAAAGTAAAAAACCAAACGTGAAAGGTGGCGCACAGATCAAATGAAATTAAATTAACAGCACAAGTTCTCCTGTGACTTAAATCCCAACAAAATAAATGAGATCAAATTTGAAAGAATATAGTTTGCAGCGTGACTCTTAAGAAAATGAACTATCAAGTAAAATAATTTTACACTATTTTACCGGATTCATTTCTTGAATGCAAATACTTGACACTTAATATAGAAGACGGAAAAAACTTGAAAGAAACCTGCTCACTGGAGACCACACGAATAGGTCCAATATTAACCGACACGTACTTTCCCCTTGAAGATAGCTTATGGGTCACCCGATCCTGTTCAAAGTAAAACCATAAAATATGGTTGAAAATAAAAAAATTAGTACCAAGGATAACGATGAGAAAAGAAAAGATCAATAGAAAGAATCTTCTAAATAAAGCTGAAGGAATGAGTGCTACATGCACCTTACTCGAAGAATTTCTTATTCCACCAACGCCAATAAATATAGCATCAAAATTTTTTGGTGGTGGCATTTTCATCATTGCTTTAATTTTAGTGGGATCGATTTCGATTCCTCTATGATATACAATAAATTCAAAAAATTTTCTGGATGAAACACCAAAAGCATATTTTAGTAAATTCATTTTTTAAATTGAATTTTCGAATTCTTTCAAATACTATTATAAGTTCATTTACATGCTTATATTGAACTTTACTTTTTACAACCAAGTCATCAACATTGCACTCGACATGTTTATATATAAGATCGTTGAATATTCAAGTCATTGCTCTTTGATAGATGGCCCCAGCATTTTTCAAGTCAAACGACTTCACCTTGTAACAATATATATCAATGGGAATTTGGAATGAAATGTGTTTCTTATCTTTTGGATCCATCTTAATTTGATTATAGCCCGATGATCCATCCATAAATACAAACATATCATTGTTTGATGCATTATCAACCATAAATTCTGCGTTCAGTAGTGAAAAATCATCTTTTGTACATGCCTCATTAAAATCCCAATAGTCAATGCAAACACAGATTTGATCATTCTTTTTTTACTAGAACAATATTAGTGATCTAGTCAGCATATTTTTCTTTTCAAATAAACTCGTCTTCAATAAGCTTTTTTGTTTCAGCAATGACTTGTTTTTTAATCTCAAGTCACATTCGTCTGGATGATTATTTCACACGGGACATTTTGGCATCAATGGAGAGTTTATACAATGCCACCTCTGGTGATAATCCATGCATTTTAGTATAATTCCTTATGAAACAATCCTTATACTCAAGAAGTAATATTTTCAGCTCTTTTGCTTTATCATGCGAGATATTAGCACTAAGGAATGTGGGTTTGGGATCCTCTTCTGCACCCAAATTTACTTCTTTGAGCTAGCCTTCATTTAGTTTGACTAACCTTTATAAACACTTTTCAAACTTATTTTAAATTCACAATTAGACCTTCAGTTTGATTTTCATATTCGAGTAGTTCCTTATCTTTGTCTGTAATGTTGTAGGATGTTACTCATGTAAGACATGAAGATTGAGTATAGTCAAGACCCCATGTTATAGATAAACCCTGTCCAATGGGCTTTTGCGCATGTTCATTCTGCCAGAAATTCCTGAAATAACGGGCTTGTTTATTTAATTGCATAAAGATGATATTTCTTTCAATAAGCCTTTTTATAAGGGGTATAGTATATTGAGGGAAAATTGGCGACTTATCTTCCTCTTCCCATTCTATTTCATGCAGAGTACGACTTGATACTCCTTTTGATTTGTAGAAAAAGGTTTCAAATTCATTGTGACCTCTCTTTGGTGGGACAAAAGATTTTCAACATTTCCATACTGGATTCAATGAGGAAGTTAAAGTTTTAACATTTATTGCCAGCATGGGTACCATTTTTATGATGTTTGTAGATATATGAGAGTCAGATGCTCTTATCGATGAAACGGAGAGTTTCTTCAACTTCTTAGTTATGGAACTGGGCCAGATCCCCTTCATTTTAGGCTTCACATTATTTTTAGGTTAATAGAGGAATTCTTCCTCTTCTTCATTACTCATTCCACTTGAAGAATTATTTCGTATCTTATTTGCATGATTAGCTTCATAATCATAATAAGCATAATAAACTCTTGAGTATTTACCATCCTTTTTCCCTTTAATCAAAGATTTATAAGTTTCGAAAATATCATCCTCTTCCTTTGTATCAACTACCGAGACGAGGTATTGATCTAATTTACTTCAATTCATCTTTGTCTTTATCTTTTGGATTTTATTTATCAAGTGTAGCAGTCTGAATTTTTGGAAAGGAGTCAATCTTTGGCTTTCGCATTATGAAAAACTTGACATCATCATAGATTTTAACTTCATGCACCAAAAATAGTTGTTCATCGCCATTGATTAAATGATCTTCACCATCTCGATTGTTTGTCATGCATTGGTGAAGTGTTGAAGCTACGATACCATATTCATGGAACCACAGCCTTCCAAGATGTGCCTTGTAACAAGTGTTAGAATCAATCATATGAAATCTAACCTTTGTGTACAGTTCCCCAAAGCTTAGTGGTAAAACCAAGGATCTTAAGGTCCTTTGTCCTTGTTTATTGCACCCTTGCAGGAATACGTACTTCTGTTCAAATATTGAAAATTATGGGATAATCCTTTGAGCATTTAAAGACTCGTCAGATTAACAGAGAAGCCCGGATCAATTAAAATTCTATTTATTTGAATATTATTACTCTCCATAGTAATATAGAGTAATTGATTGTGATCTGTTGTTTCTAAAAGCATATCATTATCACAAAAGTGATTGTAGCAATGTTATGAGAATAGAAAGTTTCCCTCATGATTTGTTCTGCAAAAAATAACTCATATTGCTTTGGATTTTGCAAAGCTTTAATGCGCCTTTTCAGGATGTCCTTAGACATGATGAGGGCATCATAGATGCTTAGCAATGCAAGCAACTTACATAGATGGGTCAAGAAAATATAATCCAAAGTTGTATTAACAATCAAGAGTTTAGGCTAATCTTGTTACACAATAGCGTCATTGAATTGAATATTCTTCTCCTGATCTTTTACTTTCTTTTGTGATGGAGTAAGAACATGTTTTCCCCTTATTAGTAAGATTTGTATCACCTCTTTAGATGATCTAGCCTCGGTGTGAAAGTCTTTTGAATTTGCCAAATTTTCAACTTCTTCGGAATATGAACTACTTCTGAGCTTTGGGCATTTATCTTTAGGAGCTATTTACTCTTATTATCATTTTCATCATTAGGAAAGTGAAATTATTCATCTGAATCAATGAAAGATGATGTACAATGTGTTTATCCTTAGAAGGAATTTTTACATCAGCCCTGTGGATAAGAAGTGCATTGCGTCCTCTTACAGCTCTTTCACTTCGGCAACTTATGGCTCGACAACTTTCCATTGGAATACTATCTTTTTCAACCAACTCTGAATCAAGATGCAAGTCATCCATATATTCTTCTAGCCTGACGGGTCGCCTAGGAGGTTGTTGTTATCTATTAATTGAATCAATGTATCATTGAATTTTAGTCATCTTTTTCACTAATCTCTTCATCTTTGGTTTTAGATATTTTGATGTAGAACCTTGCTTTCCTTTTGATTTTTAAAATATTTTAAAGATTTCTTTTTGTTTGAAATTGAGCCCCTTCACAACTCAATTCGTCAAAGAGAAGAGTCTTGGATCAACCTCCAACTTCAAAGCACTCTTCTAATGAATGTCTTTGATAGTCAACAAAACATTCAACATTCATATGGCTTTCTTCGATATGAAGGTTTCCCAACCACCTTCCTCTTCTTGGGATACTTTTCCCTTATCATCTTTTACACTTTGGCATGATATAAAAGAGATAAGTTAGTCTTCTCCCTTTTGAGATTAACTAAGAAACTATCTGACAAGATGAGTTCATTGTTTTGGTAGCTTCTTTAAACCCATTCCTTGAATATAAAATAGTCTTCAATTGGATGACTTGTGATCTTGTGAAATGGGCAATAATTTGGATCATTGATCAAACCAGCTTGCTCAGGTTAACGAGATTACAGTAGCTGGAGACCGATTTTGAGTGCATGTAGAAAAATATTTTCCATACATTCCTTTTTTTTCTTAAGAATATATGGTTTGTTTATTTTCTCATGAAGAGTGGGGGCTCTTTGTCTTTCATTAAATTGTTTTATTATTTTAGGTGAATCTGTTGATTCCCCTTCTCTTGTCAGAGAAATAAGTGAATGTAATATTTACCTCATTCCTTTTGGATCATAAGTTCTGATTTGTTTCCTATTGTCAAAGGAGTTATTGTTGTAGCTGAAACCAAAACTTCTAGGCTTTGGCAATCTTTTGAATTTGGCTACACGATCCAACATCTTCTTGAAGTTGTTGATCATAGCCATTGCCAGATAGGGAACTATTTGATCATCAATATTCCACATTAGAAGCTCTACAACATGTTTCTCAGTGAGCTGTTATTCGCATTTCATGCTGAGATTTCTCCATCTTCTGATATACGTAGTGACGGATGAATTTTTTTCTCTTCTCAAGAGCAAGATCTGTATTAGTCACATTTTTAATTGCGCTGGCAAATCTTTTGACAAATATTATTTTCAGTTAGACGAATATTTTAACTGAGTCATTTAATAACTCAACATATCATTCAAAAGTCGTACTAATAAGACTACTAGCAAACTGACGTAACAACAAGGCATCATTATCCCCAATATTGTCACAAGTAGCATTGAAATATTTTTTAGAAGATTATAAGTAGCCTTGAATTGGGCTAGGTGCTGCCCGGGATTTTTAGTACAGAGAATGTATTGAATTTCGCTATAACATATCCCTTTAGATATTTCACTTGATTGTATTCCGCAGGATATGGACAACCTTTACCCACTAAGGCCTCAGCAGCTTCAAAAGTAATAATCGTCTTAACCTTTTGACTGATAAGATTTTCAACATGGGCTTTACTAACCATTTCATCTTCTTTGGGTATTGTCAGTACCAGCTCTTATGGAGTTCCAATCCATTATCAAGAGTGACTAGAGCACCAAGAAGAGTAGCTTGAATGTCTCCAGTATTAAACACTGGATTAACAACATTTCTTTGGGGATGCATTGTCTGTGGTTGCCCAGTTGTAGCTATCAGGCCAAGCTGCCCAAATAGTTATTTCATCATGTTGCCTAGTAGTCAGATAATTTCCTAATATTTTTTTCTATTGGAGATTGCATTTATTACCATAATCTCGTCGCAACTTCATCAATTTCTTCCTTCTCAACTTCTTCCAACTATGGAGGTGTTCTATTTATAGGTGT